GTCTCGGGGCATAGAAGCAGTGGCGTTTGGCCGGCCTGGCTTTCAGGAGATTGTTGGATTGCATTCAGCTTGTCTCCGGGCTTATCTGTCCTGTTGTAGTAGATGTGGTTTTCTTTGGGAAACAGTCCTTTTGCTCAATCGTTGGGGCCCTGGGGAGTTCTGGGGTAACCCTGCCTTGCATTTGTCGTGTAGCTCTGATTTCTTCCTCCACGAGTTTCACTTCATTCTGTTTATTCACAGCCCAGTAGAGCGGTTGCACACGTGGACTCTGGATTGAGACTGAGCTCATTTCCAAGTGTCAGCCTCTGCCAGCTAGCCCGCAGCCTGGCCTTTCTGTGCCTTGATTTCTTCTTCTGTGAAATGGATCGCGAGAATTAGGTGGAATCATCTATGTAGAACAGAACTTGGCACGTCAAAAGCACTCAATAAATGTTAGCTGTCATTAATTGTTTTTATTCAACATGCATTATTGAGCGCCAGTCTGTTGGGCTTCTGGCAGAAAGCTGATGAGGGGGCACAGTGTGGTTACAGCTGCTTCAGAGGCCTACCCCAGCATCGTTCAGCCACCAGTGTAAGCACTGGGCATGCCCCGGTGAGAAAGATGCAGTCTCAGCTGATCTGCTAGGGAGAGTGCAAACTTTTTTGTTGTTGTTATTATTAGTTTAAATAATCATAGTCTTTTTTCTTTTTTCCATCTGAGTGTGGAGAGCCCCACTTCCCCTTGCCACCTGTGCACACCCAGCCTCTGCACATGCTGATGTCCCCTGTGTGGCCCCAGCATGAGGACACGTCATTTTCCTCAGCAGTACTTCTGGGCAGTCCAGGAAACAGCGACTCCGGGGCCTTCCTGCTGTGTGCAGTGGAGCTGGGTCGCTAACACAAGGAGAGAAGTGGCAATGCCTGTTTTGGTTCTAATAGTTACCCTTTTCCTACCATGGCAGAGCAGCGGGTAGAAGCAAGACTTGGTAGTTGGAGAGGCAGCAAATAGCACACCTTTGGGAATTAAGGGCAGGGTTGCTGGCCTTCAGAATGGGATCTGTCTCCCTTCCTCTCGGCTTCTCAGCATCAGCCCAGCACTCCAGGCAGTGTAGGCAACCCTTAAATTCAGTGATAAGGCAGAAGGAAGCGGCCAGGTCCCCATGGAGCAGAGCAGGTGTGGGGCTGAGGATAGCCTGAGGGCACAGGCTGGAGGGAGGGTTAGGAAAGTGGAGCATGTGGTGTGTGGAATGGGCAACAAATGCTCAATAGGGGATTGGTGAGGTGGCACAATGGGGGCTCATTCCGTGCCTTGGGGTTCCTGAGCTGGCCCAGGTCTGTGTCAGGGAGGTACTGTCTACAACACTTACCTGCTGCTCTGACAGGTTGGGGTTGATGGCTGAGGGTAAGAGCACTTGAGTGTAGCCAATCTGTGTTTTTTTTTAGTTGGGGAAACATCTCTTTTAATGAGACACTTCCCAACCTCCTCTCTGCCCTCAGTGCCAGGAGGCTGGAAGCTTCTGTTCCAGTCCCAAATCATTGTGGTATGCAAAGGCCCACACACTTGTCTCTCTAGCCAAGGTTAGAGGCAAGCCATGCGGTGTTACTGTCTATTGGAGCCTATCCAAGAAAGGCATCAAGGGGATCTTGAAGTCACTGCCATTTCCCAAGTGACTGGAGATAAAAGAACTGGAAGAGTTTTCTAGAAGGTGGTCTCTAACACCAGCAGGGATTTCCAAGGACTCTGTTCAGCACTCAGCTGACTGGAGGAAGCATGCATCCATTTAAGATCACGAGCAGGGGCCAGCAGGTGGCATGGTTAAGGTGCCGGACTATTACATGGCAGACTGTGGTTTGAGTCCTGGGTCTGGTAACCTGCTTTCTCACTTTTCCCCTCTTGTTCTCTGTCTTTCTCTGGTAAGCACATGTGCCCTACCGGAGAACTTAAGGATAATTTAAGGGACTAGAAGATGGTGTAATGGTTACGTCATTGGACTACTGCATAGTTGACCGTGGTTCGAGTCCTGGACCTGGTGGTTTAAAACTCAATGCTGGGCATGTGTGCGTGCATGCCCAGGATCCTAGGAGGAGAGTGGAGGAGAAGGGGTTGCAGTGCGACTATCTCCCCTCGGGGTTGATTTCTCTCTTTCTGTCTCTCTGTCTCTTCAGTGAATGCACACGCCCTATAGCAAAAATCTCTCTAAAAATAATAATAATAATTTAAAAAGAAGAAGATTGAGGCTGGCAGGTAGTGTGGTAGTTAAAGGAGCTGGACTCCCACATGGCCAGCCACAGTTCAAGTCCTGGATCTGGTGGCTCACTTTCTTACTTTCCGTCTATATCTCTCTCTCTCTGATCAACCTGGAAAATAATAATAATAATAATAAAAATAAATAAAGTTAAATAAAATAATTCTTAAAAAAAGAAGAGGGAGGTCACGGGCAGACTGCCAGGGTTCAAGTCCTAGCTCCCCACTTACTGTCTGAGTGGGTTCTTGGCAGCTCAGAGCCTCAGTTTTCTCATGTGGAGCATGGAGAAAACTGAGGTAGCAGTGACACTTACAGTGAGATGACCTTGTGAATAAAGGGCTTGGATCCGCGCCAGGGGCACTGCAGGCATTCCATATTAGTTATTAGAAGTGTTCCTCTCACAGCCTGCACGATTCCTCTCTCCTCCTACCCTGTATCGTGTTGTTGAGTGGATGGTCCAGGGCAGAATTGGACAGAATGTAGAAACATGCAAACTATGGCAGTGCAAGGAGAGCAACTGCAACATTTAACTTGAAAAAAATCCTAAAAATAGCTGTTCGAGCCTTTGTAGATAAAAATGTAAAATGTATGCAAATGTATGTGACTCACACAGAAGCATACATCCATGGCTGCTGGCATAGTCAGCACCGGATGCAGCCCTCAGGAAGATCCCTGCCCTGTGGGGAGCTGGCCCAGGCTGTCTCGATTGTTGCTGGGGAGGGGGCAGCACTGCTGCCTCCCTAGGCTGCTGACCGCTGGTGGCTGCAACTCCTGTTTCCACCTCTGTCCTGGGCTCTGGGCCTCCGAGAGTTCCAAGTGGGAAGAGATGCCCTTGGCCCCAGTTTGCTCCTCCAGTCCTGCTGTCCTCTGAAAGCCCAATGGCTGCTTCTCCCTTCCCGGAGCTCTATTTCTGGAGCATCTCATTGGAGATGCACGCCCCCCTCCCTGCCAAGCTCCAGGTGCTCCCAGTCTTGTGTGCAAGTCAGGGATGGTGGGAGGGTGACAGCTGAGCAAGGAGGGGGGCAGCCAGAGCCAGAGCCAAAGCCTCAGCCAGCAGGGCTGGAGGTGGGGGTGTGCCGTTGGAGGCAGGGAGGAACCAATGCTGAAAAATGTCCCTGCAGCCACCTGTAGAGGCATTGACACCCCAGAGCATCTTCTCTTTCACCTCCCAGTGGCTGATTCCATCCTGCTGTGAGCTGGTGGCCACCTTCTCCCCTTGGACAACCCAGAGATCTCTGCCTGAGAGATTTATAGCACTGGGTACAGGCTGCTTCTCAGCATCAGGGGCAAGGGTCTGCTTCTCCCCTTAAGAACTAAATCTATGGTTTTTGGAATAAGGAGTCCCACTCCCCATGTGCTGTGGATGCCGATAGCTGTTCTCTACAAAGGCCGGAGTGAGCTAGCCCTCCTCCTAGGCCTGTGGAGAGCTGGGTCCCAGGAAGGTTTGTCCTGAAGCTACCTGGGGATAGGGTGGGGTGGGCATTGCTGTTATCAGAAGTGTCACTATCTGAGACATTCGTGGCCTGTGCAGGGCCCAGGTGGTGGGCCTCCTGCCTCTCCTCTCTTGGAGTCAAAAAACAGGCTTCAACTCTTGCTGCCCTGAACCAGTCTAGCCTGACTCCCCTCCCCTCCAGCCCCTTCTCCAGTCCCTTAGTCCTAGGTGGTGTGCAGGGCAGTTTATGGGAAAGTTGCCACAGGGCCCTAGAACCAGCTGTGGGGGACAAGCATCACCCCCCACCTCTTCCCTGCACTTGGGTGGGATTGTTTCTCAGACTTGTGTTTTTAAAGGTTCTGCTCTCAGGCCTCTTGACCCCAGACTTCCCTCCACTTACGCGTCATTATGCACACATGAGAGGCCTCCTGGGCTGTGCCCAGAGAGCCCTGGAGGGGAACGAATGGGACTGGGGAGCTGCTGTCCCCCAGTTTACCCTTCCACCCTCCTTCCTCTGCAGCCACCCCTTGACATCCCCTCCCCGCCCTCAGGTCTTTCTCCAGCCGCCGGCCCCTAATGTGTAGGGCGGCACCCCGCTGCTCTGTAAGGCCCAGGGTGTTTGAATAGATGAAGCTCTGTTAAGGTTTGGAAGGAAAGTCCCAAGGCAGCCGAGCCTTCATGAGGGCGCTCAGTACTTTAACCCTGTCAGCGCCGCTTCGCAGGCTTGCCTAGAGGAGGGGCCTGGCAGCTGCACCGGCCCCCGAAACTGCGCTTAGAGATCCTGGGGTGGCAGGTGATGTCACCCCTGCGGGCCCATAGGTCTCCCCGCGGCACCTAATCAGCCAGTTGCCAGAATTCTGCTGAGCCCAGCGAGGGGAGGCGGGGGAACCTGTGCCTGCGCCGCCGCCCGGAGCCCCCGCGGGACCCCTCCTCCCACCGCACTCCGGCTGGTGTGCCCCTAGTCCCGGCGTCGGCGGGGTCTGGCTGCTCCGCGCACCCTTCACCGGGGTGGCGAGGCGTGCTGCGGCGGGGG